TGGGATGATGAACCTGGAGTCCGAGCTAGTCGGTGAGGGGCAACAAGAGAGTCAGGCCTAAGACCTGAACCTCCTTGCGGATTTCTCTCCTAACAGTGTAAATGAGCAAAGATGGATCAGGAAGGTGGGGGAGATGGGCAGAAGGCCCCGAGCTTCCAGTGGCGGAACTACAAGCTCATCGTGGATCCTGCCTTGGACCCTGCTTTGCGCAGGCCTTCTCAAAAGGTGTACCGCTACGATGGAATCCACTTCAGTGTCAACGTGAGTGCCCCAAGCCTTTCCTTGCCATCTAGGGAACTCCAGGTCCCATTCTCCTGTTAGCTCTGTTCAGTATCTAGAACTTCCATACCCTTAGCCTGCCTTCTAAAAAGTGGGCAACCAAACCCAAACTCTTTTGTATATGGGTCTCCAAATGGGTTTCTTAGAGCTCAATAATGTGGTTTCACCTTGAGCTATCTTTCTGTTCTTGGTTTCCTTCCTAGGACTCAAAGTATATACCAGTCGAAGACCTCCAAGACCCCCGTTGCCATGTCAGGTCCAAAAACAGAGACTTTTCCCTCCCAGTCCCTAAGTTTAAGGTATGTGTCTGCTAGTCTGGTATGGTGGCCCTTGGAGGGTGTGGAGGATCTGTCCTGGCAGTCTAATCTTAATGTAGCCGAGTGAAAGGATCACAGCCAGATCTAACAATCTCTGAGGCTGTGAGACTGAGTTGTTCTGGATAGGAGGTATGTTTATGTTCTAAAAAGGTGTAGATGAGGTATCCCAAGCAGGGGTGTTGACTTCTTGAAGGACAACATAAATTCAGGTTTAGCTGGTATACCTATCACTATGTATTCCTGGACAGTGCCTGGCTTGACAGTGCCCTGGTGTGATGCCCCAGTTTCTCAACAAAGGGAGTGACAAGGCCAGGGACTCCATCCCTGGAGTCCTCTATTTCTCACCTCTCATTTGGCCATTTCATTCTCTATCTTGTTTCTTCAGAGTATTCCCATTTCCCTGGCTAGGCAGGATACTTGTCAGACCCTGGGTTGAGGCTAGAAAACTGATGGTGCTTAGTTTCCTTCAGTAATTCTTTATTCTTCATTTTTAAGTCATTTGCTGGGTTCTCTCATCCCTCTTTTCACTTTGTACACTTTCCCTGGACAGCTTCTTTCATACCCACGACTTTGACTATTCCAAAATGTTGATGACTTCCAAATCTGTTTCCAGATAAGATTAGTCTCTTGAGCTCCAGACTTATATGCCTGGTAGTGGGACAGCTCCATCTGGAGCCCCACAGACATCTCAAACTCAGGAGATCTAAAACAAATTATTCTTTACCCCTTTAATTCTGCTTTCCCTTCCATCTATTCAGCTGCACAAGCTAGGAGCCTAGGAATCATCCTATGAGGCTCCTACCCTTTATTTGTCACAAAGTTCTGACCCTTTTTCTTAAATACATTTTTTATCTTAATTCTGTTTCCATTTCCATTTCTTTAATGCATACTGTTATATTCATTTCACTTGGTTTCCTTGCTTCCATTTTCCTCTATTTCATTTTCAAACCTATTGTTATTTGTCTTTTTGGTTTTACTGATCTCTTATTTTACTTTTGTTGCCATGTCCATGATTTTGTGCATCGACATGTATGATTATTGATCTGATCAAGCTTCATCTTTTGCCTTGATATCACACACCTGTGTTTCATCATACCATATGCTTTGCAATTTCTAGGAAATGCTAAGTTATTTAATAGTTTTGTGCTCTAATGAGTCCTTGTCATATTGGTGAATTTCTGTTTTTCAAAGAGCCCAGTACAAATGACTCCATGTATGTGAATTCTTCCCTGTCTCTACTCTGAACAAGGATTTCCTTCTCTGGGCTCCCAAACACCCTGTCTACATCTCTGCATCACTTACTGTGTCATGTTACGATCGTGTATGTCTTTCTGTCCTGTCTATTTTTGTCCATTTTTGTATTCCTAGTGCCTAGTCCATGGTAATCATGTAGTAAAAGCTGAGTTAGTGAATTATTTCTCTACAGCTAGTTCCTTCCATGTGTACTTATTTCTCAGTTTGTACATTTCTTTACCTGGTTCTTGCCATTATTCGGTGGAGAGAAGAATTCAGGAAAGAGAAGGGTCAAAACCGATATATATCTCTTGTTGGGTCCCATTCCCCATTCCATTACCTCTCAGTTACCCAGTCCTATTTCTCTTGATTTCATGGATTGCTCTAAAATTTCCCCAAGGACAAAGGAACAGTGGTCAGTATTAAGATCCCCGACTTAACTCTCTTGCTCTCCACAGTTGGATGAGTTCTATATCGGACAGATCCCACTAAAGGAAGTGACTTTTGCAAGGCTGAATGACAACGTGCGGGAGACCTTCCTAAAGGACATGTGCCGAAAGTATGGCGAGGTGGAAGAGGTGGAGATTCTTCTTCACCCCCGTACTCGCAAGCACCTGGGCCTGGCCCGTGTGCTCTTTACCAGCACTCGGGGAGCCAAGGAAACAGTCAAAAACCTCCACCTTACCTCTGTCATGGGCAACATCATCCATGCGCAACTCGACATCAAAGGTGAGGGTTCTCTTGCCTGCTGTCAAAGTTGGGCTTCAGCGGAGACTGTACACGCAAATGCCTGTTGGGGCCAGGCAAGTGATCAGGTTCATGATTCCTCATCTGTAACTCTTGGAGTGAGATGAGTTTATAAAATCAGAATTTTATGAAGGGATTATGGTACATATATGTATTTTCGATAGGGTTGGGCAGCACCCTATAGTCTAGCATATGACTATTTTTGTAAGAAAATTTGTGAAGGATCACACTAGATAGGAAGAATAAAAGCTATAGTAAATGGCCTCATCTCAGGTCAGGTTTTGATACTGAATTCCCAAAGATACTGGGTTTTGAGTTTGGGGTTTTTAAATTTGAATTAGGGACCTGTATAGGTGAGTGAAGGAAGCACTCTTGGTTTTTGCGTCAGGAGCAATAGGAAGGGGTGGAGATTGTGGGATATTGTAGCAGTGCCATCTAAAGGAGGTGGCTGTCACTTGGCATTAGCCAATTTGCAAGTGAGATTGAGAACTAATATTGCTGAATAATCTGGGTTTTTTAAAGGCAGAAATCTAGGTTTTCATGTGGAATCTCATGGTTTTAAAATGTTGCATTCCCCTCCCCCTGCACCCTCCCAGTTTTTGTTTTTTTTTTTTTTAAGTGATTGTGTAGGGCAAATAAAATACAACTGTAGGCTGGATTTAGCCCTCAGGTTGCCATTTTGTAACATTAGTTTTATAGGATGAAGAGCATGAAAGGATTTAGTATCAGATGACCTGGGTTTGGATTCTAGTTTTGCCACTGACCAACTTTGTGCAGGTCAGTTTTCTTTAAGCTTATAAAGTAGGGGTACTGATGCTTTTCCCTCCTGGTGATTATCCAGTGTAGTAACACTTATGGAAAAAACTGCGAAGTGTCATACTATATGTTATTTGTAGTAGACGTTAAATGGAGTTGAGGTAGAAGGTCCCTAAAAAGATAGAAAGTAGAAGAATTGAAATCCCCAAACCCAAGACTCAAATTGAGGCCTGAGGAAGATGTGGGAATACCAAATTAGGAAGGAGTTGTTTCTCCATCTTACTCTGTTGGTTCCCTTTCTTCCTCCAGGACAACAACGAATGAAGTACTATGAACTGATAGTCAATGGCTCCTATACCCCTCAGACGGTGCCCACTGGGGGCAAGGCCCTGAGTGAGAAGTTCCAGGGTTCTGGTGCAGCCACCGAGACGGTGAGAAGCTTGTGGTTGCCATAGCCCTAGCCATGTGAGCATGGTACTTGAGTGCCAGGACCAGTCTTTGGGAGGTTCTGGACTTCACTGTTAAGTATAGGAAGAGCCAAGAAAAGATTCCTAGATGCTTTCAAAAGACAGGGAACTGGGATTCTTCATTTGGAGAAAGGTGAGTTGTTAAGTGGTACTTGATTTCTTTTCCTTTCTCAGTGCTCCATTCTCTCCCTCTAGACTGAATCCCGCCGCCGCTCCTCCTCCGACACTGCTACCTACCCAGCAGGCACTGCTGTGGTGGGCACGCCTGGCAATGGCACCCCCTGCTCCCAGGACACAAGCTTCTCCAGCAGCCGACAAGACACCCCATCTTCTTTTGGCCAGTTCACCCCTCAGTCCTCCCAGGGAACCCCCTACACATCTCGGGGGAGCACCCCCTACTCTCAGGACTCTGCCTACTCCAGCAGGTATAGAGTAAATACTCTCTGGGACCCCCAGATTGTGAGAGCTGTCGCTGGGAAGAAGAAACCCAGAGTCCCTCTAAGAGGAAGTCGGGAATAATTTGTTCTGGTTTCTCTGTGGATTCAGCCAACAAATCCCCATTCTCAGGGAACTCACTCCAGCTAAGTACCCAATACCATTTAGATCTTTTTTGCAGGACAGTGTAGAGTAGCTTTGGATACTGAGAACTGGGATTCTAGGGTTTGGTGACACAGAGCTGAACCCAGCTAACTCACGCACTTTTTCTCCAGCACCACTTCAACTTCCTTCAAGCCCCGGCGGTCAGAGAACAGCTACCAAGATTCCTTTTCCCGCCGCCATTTCTCTGCATCTTCGGCTCCCACGACCACCTCTGCAGCCATCTCTGTCACCACTGCAGCCACTGCCACATCCTCCACTTCTTCCTCCTCGTTGTCCTCGTCGTCCTCATCGTCCTCTTCTTCCTCATCCTCTCATTTTCGTGGTTCTGACTCAAATTACCCAGCATATTACGAAAGCTGGAATCGCTACCAACGCCATCCTTCCTACCCACCCCGCCGGGCAACTCGGGAGGACCCCCCTGGGGCGCCTTTTGCTGAAAATACAGCTGAGCGCTTCCCACCTTCCTACACCTCCTACTTGCCCCCTGAGCCCAACAGGCCCACTGACCAGGACTATCGGCCTCCTGCCTCAGAGGCTCCACCCCCAGAGCCTCCAGAACCTGGTGGAGGTGGCGGTGCTGGGGGGCCCAGCCCTGAGAGAGAAGAAGCTAGGACTTCCCCCCGCCCAGCCTCACCTGCTCGTTCTGGCTCCCCAGCCCCAGAGACCACCAATGAGAGTGTGCCCTTCGCTCAACACAGCAGCCTGGATTCTCGCATTGAGATGTTGCTGAAGGAGCAGCGCTCCAAGTTTTCTTTCCTGGCCTCTGACACAGAGGAAGAGGAAGAGAACAGCACCACAGGCCCTGGGGCTAGAGACACAGGGATCGAGGTGCCTTCTGGGTCAAGTCATGGTCCCTGCACGCCCCCTCCAGCCCCAGCTAATTTCGAGGATGTGGCACCTACAGGGAGTGGGGAACCAGGGGCTACTCGGGAGTCTCCCAAGGCCAACGGACAGAACCAGGTGAGGTTGGGGTCAGCCAGCAGAGGTGCCTGGGATCAGGGAGGCAGGGTCGGGCCCAGGGGGAGAGGAAAGGGAAGTAGACAAAACAGGGATTTGAGGAAAAGCCCAGGGAACAGGCAGAAGCTTTCTGTGACCTTCCTCTGCACCCCTACAGGCTTCTCCATGCTCTTCTGGAGAGGACATGGAGATCTCCGATGATGACAGGGGTGGCTCACCTCCTCCAGCCCCAACACCCCCTCAACAGCCTCCACCCCCTCCTCCTCCACCCCCTCCTCCACCCCCCTACCTGGCTTCCCTTCCCCTTGGTTATCCTCCCCACCAGCCTGCCTACCTCCTCCCACCCCGACCCGATGGACCACCACCCCCTGAATACCCGCCACCTCCTCCGCCACCTCCCCACATCTATGATTTTGTGAACTCCCTGGAGCTCATGGATCGACTTGGGGCTCAGTGGGGAGGAATGCCCATGTCCTTCCAGATGCAGACCCAGATGTTAACTCGGCTCCACCAGTTGCGACAAGGCAAGGGATTGACTGCTGCCTCAGCTGGTCCCCCTGGTGGAGCCTTTGGGGAGGCCTTCCTCCCATTCCCACCCCCTCAAGAGGCAGCCTATGGCTTACCCTATGCCCTATACACACAAGGGCAAGAAGGCCGAGGGGCATACTCCCGGGAGGCCTACCACCTGCCTTTGCCCATGGCAGCCGAGCCCCTGCCCTCCTCCTCAGTCTCAGGAGAGGAGGCCCGGCTGCCTCCCAGGGAGGAAGCAGAGCTAGCAGAGGGCAAAGCCCTGCCGTCAGCAGGCACTGTGGGCCGTGTGCTGGCCACCCTAGTCCAAGAAATGAAGAGCATTATGCAGCGAGACCTCAACCGCAAGATGGTGGAAAATGTGGCCTTTGGAGCTTTTGACCAGTGGTGGGAGAGCAAGGAAGAGAAGGCCAAGGTGAGGGCCAGTGCCTGGCAATGGGGAAACCTGGGGCTCCATTGGTGGAAATAGATCTCTTGCTCCTCCAGGCTACACAGCTCAAAAGAGAAGAGGGATGATCAAGGCAAGTGGAGAGAGACTGTGGGCATGTGGTGGGATACTAGTTGGGCCAGGGAGTTGGGGGCACACACAACAGTAGAAAAGCGTGAGCCTGAGAGTCTGAAAAGCTTTGTCCTGAGTCCAGTGTTTGTCGTGGACAAGGCCCTTAAATGTCTCTGGGCTTTAATCTTCAGTGTCTCCATTTGTAGAGTGGGGAGAATAGTAGCTGCTTCCTAAGGTTGATGGACTGTAAACAAGCAGACTTAAGGAAATGCAGGGGCTGGTGCAAGGGAAGTGTGGCATAGATGTGCATCAAATGGAGGAGTGAGTAGATACATTTCTATATTCTGGGGCCTGGGAGTAGTTCTCAGGTAGGAGGGAGCACCTAGGTTCTGGGGCTCAGTCCCCCTACTGCCTGCAGCCATTCCAGAATGCAGCCAAACAGCAAGCCAAGGAGGAAGATAAAGAGAAGACAAAGCTCAAAGAGCCAGGCCTGCTGTCCCTTGTAGACTGGGCAAAGAGCGGAGGTACCACAGGCATCGAGGCCTTCGCCTTTGGGTCAGGGCTGCGAGGGGCCCTGCGGCTGCCTTCTTTCAAGGTACTCAGAACTGTGGTCTTGCCTAGTATGTCCTTGGGGTAGGAGTCGTTGGGAACCATGAGTGTTCGAGTTCTAAAACGGCTCCATCTCTTTCCACCCCACAGGTAAAGCGAAAAGAGCCTTCAGAAATTTCAGAAGCCAGTGAGGAAAAGAGGCCCCGGCCTTCCACTCCCGTGGAGGAAGATGAAGATGGTGAGTGAGAGGTCAGGTGGAAGGAGAAAGGGTAGAGGCTGCTTAATTCTGATAGGAAAGTAAGAAGCAGGGATGAAGGGGTAAAGGTGTCTTAAAGGCAAGGAGACAAGTGGAGATTTGACTATAGGGTTATAAAGCAGTTCTGATTATGTGAAGCTTCAGATAGGGTAGTCCCTAGATTTTAGTTATGGTTCTTAGGCTGATAAGCTGATTTAAGTTTTCTGTATTTCAGTTTTCTCTTGTAAAGTAGGAATAATAACTTTAACATCTAAAATCACAGAATTTTGAGGTTAAACAGGTCATCTACCCATGTTTACCATTTAATGCTTAAGCTTTCCTGTAACCTTCTTACCATTTTGTCTAAGACTGAACTATTGGTTGACAGCTTATATGGCTGGGAAACCTTCTTACTGAGTCCGATCTGCTTGCCTGGCAACCCGTTTGCCTAAGTAGTATTTTCTTGGGCCAGGTATAACAAATCATCTGCCCCTTCCACCCAACCCAGAAAATGATGAGAAATAAAATGGATGTGATATATTTAAAGCTGTATAAAACATTGGTTAGCTCTGAGATTTTCATGTTTTTCTGCTGAGCTTCAACTTCTTGTTTATAAAACATCTGTGGGACTGTCAGGAAGATCAACAGCAGTAACTGTTACTGCTGTTGGTAAATTGCTTTAACTACCACTCACCTTGGCTTAGACCCTGAGCGAGAGAAGGAGGCTGGAGAGCCAGGACGTCCAGGGACCAAGCCCCCTAAGCGAGATGAAGAGCGAAGCAAGACCCAGGGCAAACACCGCAAGTCCTTTGCTCTGGACAGTGAGGGGGAGGAGGCATCACAGGAGTCCTCCTCAGAAAAGGTAAGGAGACAAGGCACTTGGTCCCTGCCAGAAGCCTGCTTCCTGAGTTCCTGTCCCCATAGCCAACTTCCCTTTGGGCTGCAGTGCAGGTAGCTATGCCTTCTAGAGGACCAGTTATCCTTTTCCTGTTAGTCTCTATTTGTTCCTTTTCCTTAAGGATGAAGATGATGATGAGGAAGATGAGGAAGACGAAGAGCATGAGGAAGCCATTGATACTGCAAAGAAGGAGGCAGAGGCATCAGATGGTAAGTAGAGATAAAATAGAGTAGGTTTCTGGCTTGGGGAAGAAGGGATTCAGCCACCTGTCTAGCCCTTTCCTGAGCTCACATAACCTTCCTGCTGGATTTATTGGCCATCTTTGCCCTCCCCCAAAGCAACTTCTTAGCCCTATCCTTTGGAACCCTTGGCCCATTGTAAACAACAACATCAATACCCAGAATGCTACCCCTTGCTTACCTCTTCTACTGAAACAAGGCTCTCCCCTGAAGACTACCCAACAGAGCCTGTTTTCCCAAGTCCTCGAGATAAGGGGTTGCATTCTCCTGCTTTCCCTTTCTTTATGCTACCAGACTGTGCCTTCCCATCTTTAAGTACTGTACATCTTTAAGTAAGGCTCAGCCATTGAGCTGTGCCTCTCTCTTCCCCTCCCTGTAGCTGCCATCACCAGATATGATTTCTCTTCTCAGTCGAACACCCATTTGTTTCTCCACATTGAGGCTTGGGGACATGGTTTAGTCTTTCTTTTCATTCATTTGTTTGGGAATATATATTGAGTTCCTCTTCTGAGCCAGGCACAGTTTTAGGTGTTGGGAACACATTCGTGTCCAAGACAGATGTGATTGCTGCTTTTGCAGAGCTTGTGATCAGTTGGCAGGGAAGAAGAGACTTGACAAACAAGTGGACAAATAAATAACATTTGAAATAGATATGTGCTTTAAAGAAGATAAAATAGATTAACAAGGGTAGAGAGTGACAAAGGTAGGGGAACTGCAGAAAAATTAACTTTTATATCTAATGATGAAAGAATGCCTCTGAGAGGTGCCATTTCCGCAGAATCCAGAATGGTGAGAATGATGATCCTAGAGCCTCTTCAGTAAAGCAGAGGGCAAGGTCATGTGCTGAGAATGAGGGTGTGCAGACCCCTACACATCACTTGGTCACCAACTCCTGTCAGTTTCACCACTTCCATTTTTCTTAAATTGTCAACTTCCTTTGTTCTTGCTCTCCTGCCTTAATCATGTAGAGGCTGCAGCAATTTTGACTGATTTTCCTGTCTGTTTTCATCCTTCTCCGTTCCAATCCATTTTCCAGCCTGCTGATGGAATTATCATTCCTAAAATACACACTGGACCCTGTTACTTCCTCTGTAAAGTATTTTCCTGGCTCCCCGTTTTCCACAAGGTGAAAGTGGCCTCAGCCTGACACTTTAGGCTGCTTATAATCTAGCTCCTGCTTATCTGTTTGGTTCCATCTTGTCATTCTCCAGATCCCTCCATGGCCATCACTACTTTCTATTTTAATTTACCCAATTATGTTTCTTAAAGACTACAAAACCTCTTAATTTCTTAGACTCTTTCCAGTGTACTATCTCCTAAAGGCACAGAGCTTGTAACATTTCCTAAGCTTATTTTACCCTAGAGTTCTTTTACAGAGTTAGTCATCCAGTCAGTGTCTATAAGACCCACTTTGAGAAAAGCTTTGGTAGTTACAGCAGATTGCTTGCCAGTCTCCCAGTGCCGCTCTTCACTTAACCTTTCACATCCCTGCTTAGCCGCCAGGCCTGCCTGATGAACTCCTACTTCTCTTTTTTGACTTCAGTATCTCCTTCACGGGGATGCCTTCCCTGACCATGCTCCCCAGCCCTTTACACTGACATTTATCTCACTATGAACAAATTGTGTGCTTACCCAACTCCTTAAGGGTAGGACTTCCAGGACCTAGCACAGAGCCTAACACATCCATAGTACTGAGTCAGTGAACAAACCCACGGCTTGACCAAGTGAGGGACCTTCCCACTTCGCCTGATTACCCCTTCTGGATTTCCAGGCGAGGACGAGGAAAGCGATTCGTCCTCCAAATGTTCTCTGTATGCTGACTCAGATGGTGAAAATGATAGCACCTCGGACTCCGAGAGTGGCAGCTCGTCCAGCTCCTCATCTTCGTCATCCTCTTCATCTTCCTCCTCATCGCCATCCTCCTCCTCATCTGAATCCTCCTCTGAAGAAGAGGAAGAAGAGCAACCAGGAACCATACCCTCGGCATCACCACCCCCTAGAGATGCCCTTGTGCCCCTGCCAGCACCTGTGGAGGAGTCCAAGCCAGAAAGAGTGGCAGGCTCCCCAGTCACACCACTCCCCGAACAGGAGAAGTCTCCAGCAATACCTGCAGGTAGGTGGTGTGGAGCTGTTGATTTGATCTGTGCGTGTGTGTGTCCGTGAGAACAGTGGGGTCAGCATTTATTAGTTGCGTGCAAGTATGTGACTTTATTGGAAAACATGCAAAGTTGGACAAAAGTCACTATCTCCTGTCACTTCTCCCCAGGAGACATTTATGGTCTAATGTACTCCAGCTGCACTGCCATAAGTGGTTTATAGAGCCACACCAGGGTGGTTGGCTACTAAAGTAAAACAGAATGGTCTCTTCCCAAGTAAGTTAAGGAGAAAATTCCCAATTTAACAAATTGCTCCTCTAATTTTTCTTAAGCCCATTTCTTAATGTGTAATGTATACTTTGATTAAATGGACAAATAGGTAGAAAACAACTATTAAAAACATTAACCCAGACCTTAATTCTAGCTTTACTTTCCTTTGCAGATTTGTACATTCAGTTTTTATTTTGTAACATGTATACG